TGTCAATCCTTAACTTCAATGCTGGAGACTGGGTGCAGGCTCGGAGCGCAGAGCTCAACCTAGCATCTAGGGCCGGGTAGTCACACAGCACGTCCAAGTCGTCAAGTGATTTTGCATCCTCAGCCGACCTGACCCACGAGAGCGCGCACGTGCAATCATAGGTAAAGGCGTTCCTGGCGGCCTCCTTGGGCGCCGTCAACCACCGCGAGAGCGTCGGCGCCGTGGGCTCCGGATCAAGAGTGATGTCCCTGCATCGGCTGGCTTCAGTGGGAAGACCAGTCCGCCCCATCTGCCCAGCGGTTGGACCGAACACCGAGGCCGGCAGAGCCCCTGTCCGATTCATGATCGCATTGCACTTTGCACAGGTGGACGTCAGTGGTAGAAAGCAACCCTCGCACACGCTTGCTCTGCACATGTTGCAGTTCTTGAAGATGTACCCCGGCGCTACCGGAACGTTGCACCCGGGGCACTTCCTCGGAGCATTCAGGCTTTCCCTAATGCTCTCGGGTTCAAGATTGAAGGATCCCGCTGCCTTGCCGTCGGCATACCGGCCAGTAAAGGGATTGTTCGCTCCGCCGTCGGCAGGACGGCCAGCAAACGGAGTGCTGGCAAAACCGTCGGCAGGATGACCAGCAAACGTATTCCCCCCGCAGCCATCGGCAGGACGGCCAGCTGTCGGGTTCGTAGCGTCCGCGTACGGAACCGTCCTTGCACTTCTTTCCGAAGGAGGTTGATCTTCCGCTCGGGATTGACCCATCGGACCGGCGGCGCCATGGCCACTGGATCTCGGAGTCCCTTGTCCCTTTGAAGGGGTGGAAGGTCGATTCCCCGCAAACGGCAAATTGCTGTCCGCCTGGGCCGGGGCCAGGAGAAGAACCACCTTGCCCGGAAGGGGCAGAGGGGTCATGCCACTTGGCCTTCTTGCCAATCTTAATGCACGTGAAACAGATGCTCTCGTCCCCGATATCGACACCATGTGCTTCTTCGCCAATGCGATGTCAAGATCTCCAGCGAGCTGTTCCGCGCAGAACAGACGCCTGCATCTGCAGCAGTGGTCGACAAGACCTTCTGATCCGCAGTAACTGCACATATCAGTAGCCATCATGCAAGGAACGCACATCCGCGACCATCCGTCGTAGCAAGGCCGCCCACAGACCACTTTCTCACACTTCTTGCACTCGTGGTGCGGGGTACTATGCACATTGCCTTGGATCCCCTCCATCGCGCAGCGCCTGCTGTAACATTGATTGCACACGTCGGCCTGACAAGACTCACATATGTGCACGGCGTTGGGATGGATTTCTCCCATTACAGCTTCATAAGGACACCGGGCAGGCCCTTCGCCTTCACTTCCCTTCCTCTCGCCCTTGCCAACTTCGGGGCTAGGCGAGTCATTACGATTACTAGGAGGTACACCCGCAGCACCCGTGTTTCTCCATGGACGATCACGACGGGATTGGCCACCATACGAGCCCTTGCCGGATTCGCGCCTCCTCTCCCTACGACCTTCGCCTCCTTCCTCGGGGTCGGCATGACCACCGTGATGGGAAGCAGAGGATCGATCGTTCGCCTCAGACACTTCGTTCCGAGAGGCCGCTGCGACAAGCAACGGATTGACCTTCTCGTGCAACTCGGTGGCCTGCTTCTCAGCATTCTCGGACCTTCGTGCAATTGACCTTACCCGTGAGGAGATCTCCGACTCAGAAACCTTCCTGTGCTCCGCACTCTCCCTGAGGCATTTAGACATCTCCTCTCAGGACCTCTACTTCAGCAGCGACTAGGCGATCCCTTTCCTTCAATGTCTCAAGAAGCTTCGTGGAGTCCTCCTCCTTTCGCTTCGCACTCTCCTGCGACGACATGACCGTCTCAACTTCGCTCTTTTGCTTCTTGAGCGCGGTTCCGACCACCTCCCTGAGCTTCAGAAGATCGAGCTTGTCTTTGGCGATCGCATTCTCAGACCTAGTCACTCTGTCCCCGATCTCGGCCAGCACTGCATCACGGGTCGCGCCATCGACAGGGGCGCTTCCGCTAGCGGGACTTTTGCCATCAGAGGCAGAGGCGACCTTCTCCTCAATGACCGAGATCCTCGACATTGAAGACCTCAGATCATTGCACATGACCTTGACGTTCCCCTCGAACGCACGCAGCCACTTCATGAGTCCCTGCTCTCGCATCGAGAAAGCCTTGACCCACTTGCCCTGGTCCTGTTTCAAGGCCTCAAGAGCTCGAAGCTTTCCATGCACCGCTTCGCCACGGCAGCCAGCTTCATTGCCGCATCCTTCCTCCCGGCGTCAAAACGCTCCGCGGCCCTACGCTCAGCGTCAAGGAGGCGGGAGTCAACATGGTCGCGGCTTTCCTTGCTCACCGCGTCGATGCATGCTTTGGTTCCCTTCACAATTGCGTTGGATCTCTCCTGCAAGGCTTTCTTGGCACTGGCCTCAGCCACATCAACACGGGCATGAGCTTTCTTCTCAACCTCATCAATGCCCAGCACAGTACCTCGACGTCGAAGCTGGGCTTCAAGCCCATCAATCCGGCCGGAGAGCTTCCCGATGAGCTGATGGATTGTGGAGATGTCCCCACTGGTGAGCTCCGTCTGCACTGTGGAGTCCTGCATGGGTCGCGCGGCAGACGCACCCCCAGCTTGGCCACTTCCATGCTCACCTTGGGACTGACTTCCCTGACTGGGGGAAGCGCCAACAACTGCTCGACCCATCGAGTCATCGCCGTCAGAGTCGATCTCCGTCTTCTGTAGCTCCCGCGACCTGCGAAGTCTCTCCCCCGACGGGGGACATGACGAGGACCTGACGCAGCCTCGGAAGACGAGGCTATGGGAACATCCACTCCGTCGAGAACGTCCGGCCATGTCTTAGTGATGCTCACTGTCGATGTTGGCCTCTGGGATCTCGCTGGGAGTTCTGAAAACCTGCGCAGCCGGAATAGCATCCGAGTCGTTCCTTCTCCTCCGGGTTCAGTAGCATGGGGCTGTCAGAGATGAGCTATGCAAAGGGAGACACCGCCGCGGCAACCTGACAGGGGTCGGCCGGGACAGTGGAAGGCTCATCAGAAGGGCCAGACTTTTCTCCTCCTGCACGCTGCCTGCTGCGCTGTTCGACGGCCGCCATGAGCCTGTCGTCATCCTGCTGCTCCAACTCCTAAAGATGCCTCCGTTGGGAGAGGCTCAGCTGCGGGCGGCATGCCAGCACAGCCTCCCTCAGTCACTGGTGTGTGGACGGAGAAGAACTCCGGCGTCCCTATGTGAAAGAAAGTCCCGGCAGAGGACTGCTCCTGCTGCGCCCGATCTCCCGACATGGGACGAAAAGGCCCAGCGGTCGGGCCCTCAATGGGGTCGTCCAGAAGCTCACGTCTCGACTCGACAAGAGTCGGATTCTCAATGGGATCATCCAGAAGTCCCAGTACTGAATCTCTTGCATGCCCGTCATGACTCTCTCTCAATTCACCAAGAGCATCAACCAACCCATCATGACTCACGCAATCCACCAAACCCTCATGACCCCCAACCCCAGCATTCGAAGCAGCCCCGTGCAGCATCTGGCGTAGGATCCACTCCTCGTCAATCGCACCTGATGCAGACTCCACAGGATCTTCGAATCCCGGCCGGGGATCCGGACCTGTCTCCAGTGGAAGGCTCGTCCAAGAAGTCCAGCTCCGTTGAGGGGCGGGGGGCCGGCAAGGCAACCCCCGCCCCGTCCTCATCCTGCAAACTCGTCATCGGAGACCTCGATGACTCCATTGGGCCACGACAAGTAGCCCGGTCACCAGCTTAGGCCGAGGCCTACGGCTGATAACCTGGAGAAACCTGTGAGACCCCGTTACCCAAGTTCCCAAAAGGGGGAAAAACCGGGCTTCTCGACACAAGAAACCCACCCTTAAAGCAATGCCCTTAGCCCCAAAGCACAGGGAAACCCACGCAGGTGACCAAGAGGAAGAGGAAGATTGAAGTAATGCTTGATGGTGTGGTTGAAGTAGTACAGGTTGCAGAGCAAGACCACAAATGAACACAAAGACCAACGAGGTATCAGAAGAGCAGGCGACGGCGCACCAACACGAACGCCTATGGCCCGGCCCGGATGCCGCCCCGCCCACGCCCCTTTTTACCTCACGCCAGACCTGTCGTCCACGTGCAGGCTTGAGCCAAGGCCGCAGAATCCACGGCCTTGGAACATGTACGAATACTTACTGATTGCATGCCAAACCACACCTCCAAATGACATAGCCATCTGCAAGACCAAAACATTAAACATCAAACTGGCCTTTTTCTCAAGCGCAAACTCATAATCACAAAAGTTAGGAACCAAGTTGACATGATGTTCAAGTCCTTGACCTGTGGTGTCACAAAGGCTCCCATCAACTTCATCAGACTGAAGCCACCGACCAGCACCATCCATGGCTTGACACCTTCGGTTCATGGCTACAACAAGGAGTGTGCCAACACCACTCCATGCAGTTTTACTCCATCCAATCTTCCTTAGTCTTTTTTAAATTATTTTACACATTGTCTAGGTTGGCTGAGTTTTGGTGAGGTGTTTTGTTGTAGGCTTCTGTGCTGAATCTATGCACATGCTTCTGTACAAGTATGCTGTTGGAGTTGTTGATGATGTTGATGTGATGGTGTGTTGTTAGGTTTTTTGTGTGGTGTTTTGTGTACATGTTGCTGTGGGAGCTGGGGCGGGGTATAGTATTGAACTGGGGGTTGAGGCTTTTTCAGGTCTTTCAGAGTCATGATCCTCGCGAACCTCATGTCACGACTCAAGGTCCATGCCTGGTTTCATTGCAGATTTGCGAATCTCCAGGATCTGCTTCGTAGACAATGCCTTGAAGAAAGTCACGAGCCGGGGGACACAACTCACAGCCCTTCTTGTTCATCTTCAGGAAAAAACGAAAAAAGGGTAAAGCAAATCAAACATAAACACACCCGATTTCGGAAATGTTGAAGTGCAGGTGCATAGATTTGGATCAGCATGCCTGAATCATCTTTTTGCCTATTTGCGAATATCTGTGAATGGGATTTCAAAATGCACCATCTCACATAGCTGACACTATGCATGCGTTGTGCTTACGGGGCTGGAAAACATGCACAAGCAAGACAGCGAAGGAGCTGAAGTCTTCCGTCCAATTTCGCAAAAGATCGGTCATGGATTTGCCAGTTGCGCTTCAGCGGCTTCCTTATGCAATTTGGAAGCAAAAAAGAAGCGCTTCTTGATAGGGTGAAAATACACAGCATGACAACTCTTGTTGCGAATTAGCGCGGCAAGCTCCCGAGGGAGGATGCGAATGCTGTTGGAAAACCTCTGGCATGCCTTCAGGATAAACTTTGAGGAGCTCTTGCGACATCTGGCGTCCGTTGAGCTTAGGATGAACCTGCAACTCCATGAAGCCGACAGCTTCTGCTGTAGCAAATCGCCGATACTCTTGCTTCGTGTCGTTCAATGATATTCCCTTCCTTGGCTTTCAAGAACACGCACAACAAAAACAAATACGAGGTTCAAACACCGAAAAAGTAAATCATCATCCGTTCAGGCCAGGCGCTTCAGATTCTCACAGGCCTTCGCCAAGTCGCCAATCCGGAAGCCACCTGAAATGAACTCAAAGTCCCCCCCCCCCCGAAAAAACGCTTGAACGCAGCAAGCACACCTTCATCAATCAACATGTTGTTGTATTGAGCTGAAGCACAAGCATCCACGAAGTCTTTCCAATTCTTCTCATGCCCATGCAGTGCCAAAAACTCCTTCGTTTCTTCCTCCGTCAAGTCAGCAACCCAAATGTCTTCCTGTCTTGCAGTTCCACCAGCATCGAAAGCCAGCGCCACTGCCGCCGAGGAGGCTGATACAATCACCTTGGACAAAGGATAATTGGACGTAACTACATTCACTCAACATGGTTTTGTTTGAAGCCTTTGAATTTAGCATTGAAGCCGGGGGGCATGAATGGCACTTCCGATTTTGTCCGTCGCCACATCCTTCGCAGTAGAAGAGATTAAGTTGATGCCTCGGCAAGCGGAACGGAAACAACAAGACTAGGGCAAAATGCGTTACAGCATCGCTAGAAAACTGAAAAAAACATATTTTGTCCAGCCAGTCCTTCGGTGGTTGTACGAGGGACTTCAAGAAGAAGGATTGGAAACTTGGTGAGGTTGTTGGGGAAGTCCTTGAGCTTCTCGCGCACTCGCCGCATGACCTCTTTGAACAGCCCTTCGTCATCTACTCCCAGTTGCTTGCACATCCGATCTGCCCAATCGGCACTTCTGATGGTGAATCGAACAACACCTCGCACCCCGCGCAAGGCTTCTTCTGTTGCCACAGACTTTCCTGACTGGTACCGACCCCCAATGATGGTCGCATGTTGTTGCCAGCTCTCAACGCGGTTCTGGATAGTTCCCATCACTGGCCTTTGGATGACCTCGTCTTGCGGCCTGCTGGGCTCAAAAGGTTTCATGGCCTTTGCCACTGCTGCTCGGATTTTGCCCTCGGAAGAGGCTTTGAACGCCGCCACCAATTGCCCAAATGCGAAGGCTGCACTTGCCACGCTAATGAAGAAGTCGCGGTTTCGCACAACGTCGTCAACGAATTGTTGAAAATCCCTTCCCGACGTGTCAGAGGCATAGGCTGGGGCTGCCATGATGCATGAGCCAACCACATGCCCAATGCCGCGGGGCCCAAGGCGTGGTGGGCATCTCACTGGAACCGCCTCCAAATGACATAGCCATCTGCAAGACGAAAACATGAAACATCAAACTGGCCTTTTCTTACGCACAAACGCATAACCACAGGAGTTAGGAACCAAGTTGACATGATGTTCATGTCCTTGACCTGTGGTGGTGGCACGAAGGCTCCCATCAACTTCACCAGACTGAAGCCACCAACCAGCACCATCCATGGCTTGACACGCTTTTGGTGCCTTTGGTTCATCGGGTTCATGGCTACAACAAGGAGTGTGCCAACACCACTCCATGCACTTCTACTCCATAATATTTCTTAGTATTGTAAACATTATTTTACACATTGTCTAGGTTGGCTGAGTGTTGCTGGTGTTTTGTTGTAGGCTTCTGTGCTGAATCTATGCACATGCTTCTGTACAAGTATGCCGTTGGGGTGTTAATGACGTTGATGTGATGGTTTCTTGCTAGGTTTTTTGTGGTGTTTGGTGTACATGTTGCTGTGGGAGATGGGGCGGGGTATAGTATTGAACTGGGGGTTGAGGCTCTTTCTTGTCTTTCAGAAGTCATGATCCTCGCGAACCTCATGTCACGACTCACCTGGCCAAAAAAAACAGCAGCCAAGCTGCAAAGACTCCAAGGTCCATGTCGGGTTTCATTGCGCGCGAAGCTTCAGGATCTGCTTCGTGGACAATGCCTTGATTAAAGCCACGACTTGGGGGACACAACTCGCAGCCCTTCTTTTTCATCCTCAAGAGAAAAAATGAAAAAGGGAAAAACAAATCAAACAGAAGCACACCCGTTTTCGGAACTGTTGAAGTGCAGGTGCATAGATTTGGATCAGCATGCCTGAATCGTCTTCTGACCTATTTGCGAATATCCTTGAATGGGATTAACAAATGCACCATCTCACATAGCTGCCACTATGCATGCGTTGCGTGTATGGGGCCGGAAAACATGCACAAGCAAGACAGCGAAGGAGCTGAAGTCTTCCGACCATTTTCGCAAAAGATCGGTCATGGATTTGCCAGTTGCGCTTCAGCGGCTTTCTTATGCAATGTGGACGCAAAAAAGAAGCGCTTCTTGATAGGGTGAAAATACACAGCAGGACAACTCTTGTTGCGAATTAGTTCGGCAAGCTCCCGAGGGAGGATGCGAATGCTGTTGAAAACCTCTGGCATGCCTTCAGGATAAACTTTGAGGAGCTCTTGCGACATCTGGCGTCCGTTGAGCTTAGGATGAACCTGCAACTCCATGAAGCCCACAGCTTCTGCTGTAGCAAATCGCCGATACTCTTGCTTCGTGTCGTTCAATGATATTCCCTTCCTTGGCTTTCAAGAACACGCACAACAAAAACAAATACGAGGTTCAAACACCGAAAAAGTAAATCATCATCCGTTCAAGCCAGGCGCTTCAGCAGGCCAGGCGCTTCAGATTCTCACAAGCCCTTCGCCAAGTCCGCCAATCCGGAAGCCAAGCCACCTGAAATGAACTCAAAAGTCCCCCCCGAAAAAACGCATGAACGCAGCAAGCACACCTTTCCTCAATCAACATTGTTTGTATTGAAGCTGAAGCACAAGCATCCACGAAGTCTTTCCACATTCGTCTTCATGCCCATCGCTTCCTCCTCCGTCAAGTCAGCAACCCAAATGTCTTTCCTGTCTTCAGTCCCACCAGCATCGAAAGCCAGCGCACTGCTGCCGAGGAGCTGATACATCACCTTGGACAAAGATAATTGGACGTAACTACATTCACTCAACTCATGTTTTGTTTGAAGCCTTTGAATTTAGCATTGAAGCCGGGGGGCATGAATGGCACTTCCGCTTTTGTCCGTCGCCACATCCTTCGCAGTAGAAGAGATTAAGTTGATGCCTCGGCGAGCGGAACGGAAACAAACAGACTAGGGCAACATGCGTTACAGCATCGCTAGAAAACTGAAAAAACATATTTTGTCCAGCCAGTCCTTCGGTGGTTGTACGAGGGACTTCAAGAAGAAGGATTGGAAACTTGGTGAGGTTGTTGGGGAAGTCCTTGAGCTTCTCGGGCACTCGCCGCATGACCTCTTTGAACAGCCCTTCGTCATCTTCTCCCAGTTGCTTGCACATCCGATCTGCCCAATCGGCACTTCTGATGGTGAATCGAACAACACCTCGCACCCCGCGCAAGGCTTCTTCTGTTGCCACAGACTTTCCTGACTGGTACCGACCCCCAATGATGGTCGCATGTTGTTGCCAGCTCGCAATGCGTTGCCGGAGAGTTTCCATCACTGGCCTTTGGATGACCTCGTCTTGCGACCTGCTGGGTTCAAAAGGCTCCATGGTCTTTGCCAGCGCTTCTTGGATTTTGCCTTCTGGAGAGGCTTTGAACGCCGCCACCAATTGCCCAAATGCGAAGGCTGCACTTGCCACGCTATTGAAGAAGTCGCGGTTTCGCCCAACGTCGTCAACGAATTGTTGAAAATCCCTTCCCGACGTGTCAGAGGCATAGGCTGGGGCTGCCATGATGCATAGCCAACCACATGCCCAATGCCGCGTGCCCCAAGGCGTGGTGGGCATCTCACTGGAACCGCCTCCAAATGACATAGCCATCTGCAAGACGAAAACATGAAACATCAAACTGGCCTTTTCTTACGCACAAACGCATAACCACAGGAGTTAGGAACCAAGTTGACATGATTTTCATGTCCTTGACCTGTGGTGGTGGCACGAAGGCTCCCATCAACTTCACCAGCCTGAAGCCACCAACCAGCACCATCCATGGCTTGACACGCTTTTGGTGCCTTTGGTTCATCGGGTTCATGGCTACAACAAGGAGTGTGCCAACACCACTCCATGCACTTTTACTCCATAATATTTCTTCGTATTGTAAACATTATTTTACACATTGTCTAGGTTGGCTGAGTGTTGCTGGTGTTTTGTTGTAGGCTTCTGTGCTGAATCTATGCACATGCTTCTGTACATTATGCCGTTGGGGTGTTAATGACGTTGATGTGATGGTTTCTTGCTAGGTTTTTTGTGGTGTTTGGTGTACATGTTGCTGTGGGAGATGGGGCGGGGTATAGTATTGAACTGGGGGTTGAGGCTCTTTCTGGTCTTTCAGAAGTCATGATCCTCGCGAACATCATGTCACGACTCACCTGGCCAAAAAAAACAGCAGCCAAGCTGCAAAGACTCCAAGGTCCATGTCGGGTTTCATTGCGCGCGAAGCTTCAGGATCTGCTTCGTGGACAATGCCTTGATTAAAGCCACGAGTTGGGGGACACAACTCGCAGCCCTTCTTTTTCATCTTCAAGAGAAAAAAGGAAAAAGGGAAAAACAAATCAAACAGAAGCACACCCGTTTTCGGAAATGCTGAAGTGCAGGTGCATAGATTTGGATCAGCATGCCTGAATCGTCTTCTGACCTATTTGCGAATATCCTTGAATGGGATTAACAAATGCACCATCTCACATAGCTGCCACTATGCATGCGTTGCGTGTATGGGGCTGGAAAACATGCACAAGCAAAAAAAAAAAAAAAAAAAAAAAAAAAACACTAAAAAAAAACATAACAAAAAAAAAAAAACAAAAAACCAAAAAAAAAAAAAAAAAATAAAAACAAAACCAAAAAAAAAGAAAAAAAAAAAAAAAACAAAGAAGATAAAACAGCGCAGGAGCCTGAAGTCTTCCGACCATTTTCGCAAAAGATCGGTCATGGATTTGCCAGTTGCGCTTCAGCGGCTTTCTTATGCAATGTGGAAGCAAAAAAGAAGCGCTTCTTGATAGGGTGAAAATACACAGCAGGACAACTCTTGTTGCGAATTAGTTCGGCAAGCTCCCGAGGAGGATGCGAATGCTGTTGAAAACCTCTGGCATGCCTTCAGGATAAACTTTGAGGAGCTCTTGCGACATCTGGCGTCCGTTGAGCTTAGGATGAACCTGCAACTCCATGAAGCCGACAGCTTCTGCTGTAGCAAATCGCCGATACTCTTGCTTCGTGTCGTTCAATGATATTCCCTTCCTTGGCTTCAAGAACACACATAACAAAAAAAACTAAGAGGTTCAAACACCGAAAAAATAAATCATCATCCGTTCAAGCCAGGCACTTCAGATTCTCACAGGCCTTCACCAAGTCGCCAATCCGCAAGCCACCTGAAATGAACTCTGGTTTAAGTCCCCCCCAAAAAACTCGACCGCGGCAAACACACCTTAGTCAATCAACATGTTGGCTTTACGGCCATCGCTCGCCCTGCGTTTTACAAGACCCAACATGTTGTTGTATTGAGCCGAAACACAAGCATCCACGAAGTCTCTCCAATTCTTCTCATGCCCATGCAGTGCCAAAAACTCCTTCGCTTCCTCCTCCGTCAAGTCGCCAACCCAAATGTCTTCCTGTCTTTCAGTTCCACCAGCATCGACAGCCAGCGCCACTGCTGCCGAGGAGGCTGATACAATCACCTTGGACAAAGGATAATTGGACGGAACTACATTCACTCAACATGGTTTTGTTTGAAGCCTTTGAATTTAGCATTGAAGCTGGGGGGCATGAATGGCACTTCCGATTTTGTCCGTCGACACATCCTTCGCAGTAGAAGAGATTAAGTTGATGCCTCGGCGAGCGGAACGGAAACAAACAGACTAGGGCAAAATGCGTTACAGCATCGCTAGAAAACTGAAAAAACATATTTTGTCCAGCCAGTCCTTCGGTGGTTGTACGAGGGACTTCAAGAAGAAGGATTGGAAACTTGGTGAGGTTGTTGGGGAAGTCCTTGAGCTTCTCGGGCACTCGCCGCATGACCTCTTTGAACAGCCCATCGTCATCTACTCCCAGTTGCTTGCACATCCGATCTGCCCAATCGGCACTTCTGATGGTGAATCGAACAACACCTCGCACCCCGCGCAAGGCTTTCTTCTGGTTGCCACAAGACTTTCCTGCTGGGGGTACCAACGCCCCCACAATGATGGTACGCATGTTGTTGCCCAGCTCGCAATGCGTTGCCGAGAGGTTCCATCACTGCCTTTGGATGACCTCGTCTTGGCGCCTGCTGGGGTTCAAAAGGCTCCATGGTCTTTGCCAGCCTTCTTGGGATTTTGCCGTCTGGAGAGGCTTTTGAACGCCCGCACCAAAATTGCCCAAATGCGAAGGCTGCACTTGCCACGCTAATGAAGAAGTCGCGGTTTCGCCCAACGTCGTCAACGAATTGTTGAAAATCCCTTCCCGACGTGTCAGAGGCATAGGCTGGGGCTGCCATGATGCATAGCCAACCACATGCCCAATGCCGCGTGCCCCAAGGCGTGGTGGGCATCTCACTGGAACCGCCTCCAAATGACATAGCCATCTGCAAGATGAAAACAT